CCGGCGAACAGGGGTGGACTGTGACCATAAGGGGGCCCGTCTGCTTTCTTCCTACCTGGAGATGCAGGATGCCTAGTCTTTGGTCTCTTTCCCTCCCCCGTTCCCTTCATCTCCCTCCTGGCTTCCTTTCCTCTCTCGCCCCCCCTTGCTGTTTCTTGCAGAGATCGGAGATCGGGACTTCAGTGATCATCCGACCTCTGCCTAGCAACTGACGACGCGGGTGGGCGGGCCGGCCAGTCTAAAAAAACATGACAGGCTGCCTGCTTTGGAGACAGAGCCTCACTGCACTGCTCCTCCTATGCCACTGTATAGCTCATGGGAGCAGGGAACACCTCTGCAACAATGCGGGCAGCTTCCTCCCCCCTCCTCCTCCCATTCCTTCAACATGTTTGAAACAGCAACCACAGGTATGTTTATACCTAAGCACATGGGGACGTTTAATGTTTTTTTCTTTTGTTTTTGTGCATGTTATTACACGATTGCTTCTTTTTAGGGATGCGTCGATACCAGTGTCGGTATTGGTGCCAATACTGGGCATTTTCACGAGTATGCCCCAATACTAAGCACCAATACCGACACTTAGCTTTTCTTTTTTAATTATTTAATTTTTTAACCTCATGGTGCCTGTCTGTTTACAGCGCCAGTCGCATATCTCTTAGGGGGGCATACAGGGACAATGAGGGCATGCTGGAACTTGTAGTTCCCTGGGTAATATTTTTTTTGGGGGTGTGCAGGTACAATGAGGGTATGCTAGGACTTGTAGTTTAATTACGACAAGTCCCAGCATACTCTCATTGTACTTGTGCACCCCCCACATATCACTGGGGGTGGGGAGCAACATTTTGTTCTGCCCCGGGCACCCGTTACTCTGGTTACGCCACTGTACACAGCCACCTACGATCGTCTGCATATAGGCACACACAAACATGTATTTGATCCTAACCTGACAGTAAAAGTGATAACTATGTGAACACACTGACCTTTGCAAGTCTTTTGGTCGGGCTGCAGTGTAAATCCTACAGGGCAACTGCAGCGAACTCCCGTGGCTGTATCCTTGCAGGTGCGGTCACATCCTCCATTATTTACGGCACATGTTTCTGGGGGTATAAAACAAAAGAGTGACTCTACAGTCTCCAACACAGCCAGCCACCACACACAAATAAACAGAGCCACTGACACATACAGATCAAACACTCAAGACTGTTATCTAAAAGGTCTGGCAATGTATATAACAAGACCAATTCAATATGAAGACAAATGGGCATAAAATGTATACATATTGTAAGAACAAAAGATGCTTTCTTGTGTGCCAAAGCCAGCCAGGACAGGTAAATAAGGTGATGCAATAAGACAATGCACACACCAGCAGAGGATACACTCATTATCTGAATCTTCCATGTCGAATCATATGTCCTTATTCTTCAGGGGTATCACTTGCATGAAATATCACTATAGTATTTATGTGAGGAGCTGCAGGCACTTTTCCTTTGAGCAAAATGTGACCCTCGATATTCCCCATTTTATGAAAACAGTTTTTTGTTTTTTTAAATATTAGTTCTAAACTTGCAACAAAGTTTTAAAAAAGCTAAATGAATATTAAAGAAAAGGGAATGCAAAGAGAAGGAAATCCCTAGAGCTAAGTCTATTTCCACAAAGAAAATTTTCCAGTGGACACATTTTATTAACTTTGAACATACTGCCTTATAGACATGTAACCCCACAAAAAATTGGCTTTGTTTCGGATCCATTCGAATTTTTATTTCAGTTTTGTGGATTTCAGATCCGAAATTTGATTTGCTTCGTCATTCGGATTTCAGATCCATCCGAATTTATGTTTCAGAACAAAGTCACATGACTGTGCCTGTCATGCAACCCCCAACAGCCAAGAAAAAACATCTGATTGGCCAGAGAACAGTCACATGCCCCAATTAGTTTCATTTTAAACAAAATTCAGACACATCCAAATTTTCGTTAAATGAGAATTCCGAGTGGTACTCATTCCGCCGCGTCAAGAGTTTGGAAATTCGGATGCATCCGAATTTAAACAAAATTCATACAAATATCCATTCGTAACTAAACTAAATTTAAATGTCTACTGCACTATTTATTGAACAGTTCCGATTCTTAAATGTTAACCCTTTAGTACAGCAAGTCACAGTAACCAATCGGAATGAACTCAGAACAGTACACAGTGGTTTCTGATTGTTATGGATCCATCAGCTTAATCAAAAGAACTCTTACCTATGCAAACAATTAAACTCCCGCTACTATGAATGCATACCAGATTAATGCACAACAAATACAACCTGCTTTAAAGTAGCACTAATGGCTAGGCATTTATACCTTAAAGTGACATTAAACCCTCAGATTTTTTAACATAAACCAATACTGTAATGTGTGCCTTACTGTAATCCATGGTTGTTGCCCTTTCCTTTGCTGCTCTTCCTTTTAAATCCTCATCTCTTCTCATGCTGGGCAGAACTTCTGTTTTGCAGCAGACTGCATTGTCTCTGGAATGGATACATGGTGTCTGTGTGTAGGTTTGCAACCTGAGCCAGCACTACAGGAAGAGGCACTCAGCTGCAAAGGGACGTTCTCTCCCAGCATGAGAAGAGATGAGGATTTAAAAGGAAGAGCAGTAAAGAGAAGGGAAACTACCATGGATTACAGTAAGTCACACATTACAGTATTGGTTTATGGTAAAAAATCTGAGGGTTTAATGTCACTTTAATGTATTCTCTACATTAAAAAGGTAAAAAACACAGAGTACCTTTCTATGTTCCCCTGTCACCCTCACGCGAGGTTGCTCGTCACCTCCACTGGGTCCGGGAAGATACTCTGCATTCCCTGAACTTCCAGGTGCTGGGGAGAGGGTACGGAGAGCAGAGGAGTGATTGACTGTCTGCCGTCAATTTATGTTGGAGGGAGCAGGGATGTGGCTTGCTGCACGCTGTAAGTGTCTATAGACGCACACAGCTAGGTGCGGGCACAACTGGGAAAGAGCACACACCGGTATCTCCTCGGCAGCTGGCTAGCTGATGGAGACACCTGCAAACAGGAAGGGGGACAGTGGTTTAGGGACCAACTAGAGAATGAGAAAATACAAAAGCTGAAAGAAGAAGTGAATGTATGCAAGTGTGGGCCACCAACAAGTCTATTGTTAAAAAGAGCTCAACAGCTCAAGCGGATATTTACACACACAAAACTAAATGGGTTAAAGCAGTGCTCTCTCCTATCTCTTCTGTTCATAAGTGTCATTCTGATACAGTGTCTGTAGAGAGATATGCACTCTATTTAGAAGACACATGGTGTGCTAGGAATCTTATAATGGGGGCACCATCCTGTAACATGTAAAACAGCTCCCTTACATGCATTTATTCTGTCTATTTAGCTGTTTGCCTGGAGTTCAGCTTTAACATATTTAAGAAGGCTCATCATAGCTCCAGCTCTCAGAATGATCTCTCCATCATGTTTGTCTTGGTGGTACCACCTTCTTCATCAGACTGTGGTCTGATAACATCTGAATAGTTTGTCTGCTGAACTTAAAGCTAAACTCTGGGCACAAAAACAGGAATTTAAATATATTGCTCAAAAGCCACAAAAGGTATAAATCCACTTTGTGTACACCAAATGGCTTTATAAACCCAGATATTAGGAGGGGCGGAGGCAAGACCAGTCACGCTGCACAAGAAGACATAGCAAGATGCCTGGTCTTTATTACAAGAAGCTCCTGCACAGAGGCAAAGTTTTGCACTGCAATACTGCACAGATCTGAACAAATACACAAAGCACACCAAATTTCAATCAACAATAGGCATGCCTCTCGTATTTAGACAATATTTGCTTATCCTGGAATGTAGCTTTAAGCAATAGGACAAGAGTTTCAAATAATTTCTGAATATTTTCCTAACTGCTCCAGAAACGACATCCCTGTCTGACATCTCACATCCAGCACGTTTCACAGAATGTTTAGAGGCTGGCCCATGTTCCTCCAACTACAGGAGGAGATATTATTGGCTGGCTTTTTCCAAATTACCTAAAACAGAGGGTTTAGCTAATCTCTGAGTATTCAGGACCATTCTTCAGCATAAAATGCCTTTGAATAGATGCTGGCAAAGCACAGAACAGAGCATTAGGCAAGGAGATCCTTAACACCCAGCTTAAGATGTGTAGAAGCATAAGGCTTTCCCCCGAAACATCATGGAAGACCATATCCAAGTTAACTTTTAAACCGTTCTTAATTCTAAAAGGGCAACACAAAGTGTCGCCAGAAGAAAATCCAATTCATGAACACATGACACTGTTTCATGAACACATGATTGAACATATTTCTCGGGCAGGAAAAGTCCCATTCCTGGATAGTGTCCAGAAAGTGGAAGAGACACACCAGGCTTGCTTTCCCATGTCATGGCTGACTGGTTGCATAGGGCAAGGGTCAGTTACTTAGCACAAATAGTCTGAAAGAGGCCATGTTTTGGGTTTCCCTTCACAGGGATTTAGCAAACTAAAAGAAAAAGGGTGAAAAAAAATCAGAGCCATGAGCCTTGATGGAGTAGAACACAGCTTATATGTGAAATCGCAAGAAAGCAGATGTGTGCAAAAATATATATATACATTTTCCTGATTGCAAGGCCATACTTCGCATACCAAGATAAGAGTGACATAAAACTACACAATTCTTAACAGTTCAAAACCAAATAAAAGTTTGTCGCATTCAACTGACTTGTTACAGAGCAAGAGAAGCTCTGCTCCCTGTATACATTTCAAGGCTTAATGTGTGTTTACCCCCAAGAACAAAAATTGAATATTTTGCAGCCTACCAGTCATTAGATGTCATGGCTACATTACTTTTTTTCAGGCTAAGAGCTAGGGATGCACCAAAATTTCGTCCTCAAACATTTCGGCCGAAAATTGCACTTTTGGCAAAATGCCGAATGTGCCATCTTTCGGACAAAATTGCGGTGCATCTCTAGTTTCTCTCCACCATCATTCCTGTTCAATCATAATTGTGTACATGGTAAACATACTATCTCCACTATGTATGAATGAACAGGAACACTCAGTATAGAGGCTTTCTGTTCATTTATAACAGGGGCTGCAGAAAAAGAGATTATGGACTCTGTCCTCAATCTCTATTTTAAAAGGGAAATATCAAAAGGTGATATTTCACCAAAAGCCCCCAGCAGTAAAGTTAAACATTTAAAATATTTAATAAAAAGGTTTTAAAAAAGGTTAGAAAAAATAGATTCTCAGTTTCGGTTTCAGCCTGACATTTCTTTTCTTTTCGGTTTCAAAAATGTTTCTTTTTGGTGCACCTCTACCTCCACCTTAGTACAGAACACCTGTTGATCCAGAAATCCAGTGTCCTTGTAACTTCCTGTGTACTGGACTGTAATCTCAAACAATATTATGTCTCCCAGCTATTTTCTGCAAGCTACAAAACAACTCCCCCCCCTCCAAAGTAATGGAGATGGGAAGGCAGCTGGAGTTGCTGCTCGTCCGCAGACACAACAGTAAGTCAACCCTAGGACAAGTTGGAAGTTGTCACCTTAGGAGATGTCACCCTAGGGGCCTCTGAGATTTTTATTGTTAACGGTGTACCTAATCAGGAGATTTCCCTTTACTTGCTTTAGGTCAGCAAGTGACTGAAAATCTCACCAATCGGGCCATAGACTAAAAATACATTTTTAGTAGTTGTGAGGGGTTATAACGCCTGAAAACGTTTTTTATTGCTGCCTGTGTCTTCCCAGTAACAACTCAAACCACCTCCCAGCCCTTATTTATAAGTGAGGCAGGAACAGAAAATATCTTTGCTTTAGACAGAGTAGGGGATGGTTAAATGTGAACGTGTTAGGTGAACTGACCAGAGTAAAAGAAAATCCCCCTTCATAGTCACCAAAACATGCATCCCCATGGCAGATTTCCTCTCTATTCCTGTTCAAGTGACACCTAAAAATTTGGGATTTTCCTTCACTTTTAGACCAAGTAACAATGGCCACCAGGACACAGAGAGGGTATATCACCCCAGCGGGAACACAGACAGTCAGGGGTTCCAACCACTCAAAAAATGTTTTCACGTAACATGCAGTTTATTTTG